GGCCCGCTTTCAGGGTTCGGGCAAGGCACAGTGCAGCTCCGGACTGCAAAATGAGCGAGACGTTCTGCCGGGCGCGACGAGTGCGAGTATGGAAGAACACGGAGCCAGGCGTGGTCCAGGGTGGTCGATGTGCCAAGCCTCCAGGTGCCAGCGTTCGGAGGACTCTCTGATCAAAGGGCCGCCGAGCGGTTCTGAGACATACCGAAGTATGTGCCAGGTTGGAACGTGGGCTGCTGGCCCATGAGCTGCGCCTGGCAGTATCCTCACTGAGTTGAGAAACGTCTATTGAGCTGCCGCATCGAAGCTGTGGCGAGCAGCATCCCAGCACGGCATAGACAGGGCTGTGCTGGACGGAACCTGCACGTGGAACCGCCCTTCTGGGTCGTTTTCAAAACGTTCTCAAAGTCGGGCTGGTCCAGTCAGCTCCGAGGCACCACGACCACTTCTCGAAAGCTGTGAGCCTCAGATCACGGGACTACCACCCATTCTTTCTCTTCGCGTAGTGTGGTGGACGTTCCAACGACGACTACACCACCAACAACGCTTCATATTTCAGTCGCTTATACAAATATTTAAAAACGCCTCCCTGCCTGTTTCTTGCGCCGCTGTGCAACCTTAGAAATGCCGAACTATCCTAATGAAATACAAGGTATATTCAACAGACAATAAAGAGTAAATTAAAATTAGCGAGCGACACAATGGTAGGGAAATTTGCTATGAAGTGTGGGAGCAAAAATGCAATAAGGCCATGAAACTACAGCAAACGAGAAATAAATCTCGGCAGATTGCCCGTATCGTAGGAATTTATCTCATACGAAGAAGTAATCATAGAGCGGTCTCTGCCACAATTCTTCCTTTGAGTCCAGTGTACAAGAGGTGGATTGACGTTTTCATTGAAATTAAGCCGCTGTGTGTAATCCTTGCCTTACCAGATGCGTCATCTACATTGTGTGATTCAGGATAACTCTGATGTTTTGACGTAACGGCTGTGCTCCTTTACGGCACAGATGTAAGTTTTCTAATAAAAGTGTGCGCACAACAAGGTGAAGATCGACATAACAAAGGCGGCCGTGATTCATAAGTTCCGGCTTTAAAACACAATGCGAGACTGCACCTTGCTGAATCACAAGAGTACACAAGTGATGTTCATTACATTGCAATGCGAACTGACAGCTGATACTGCTGATTGAGCTTAGACAAGCACTACCACCACATCTGTACTGAAAACGATACTGACACTATTTTAGTAGGTGAATTCGCTTTGTCACACCGATCTGAATACAGAGAGAGCTCTGAGCAAAAGTGGGAGAGAATTAAATAAAAAAATAAAAAGAGAGGCAATTCTAGTGAAGGAACCGGTTTGCAACTCTTTACAGGGGTGTGAAAATAAGGGTCGAAAAGAAGATAGAGAGATAAAAATAAAGAAAAAAAGTACACTTGCACACATATGCAGAGTGTTCCGATCAGAATTGTTTGCAAATGTCACGCCAACGCAATTCTGATAAAGTATTGCATTCTGAGAATAAAGTGAATTTTCTCAAGGTCCAACTACCGAAATCGATGCTCGCTTGATGTAAGGCTAGAGTAATTATTACACTGAACTATAGCGGTAGTCTGGCTTATCGTAATGATGTCAGTTACCAAAACTTCCAAAATGGCTGCTTCTGCTTCACCAGCAGAGCCATCATGCGTGGCGGCCATGATTACTTGAGCGAGCACGGGATGAGGAGCTCGTATTGTGTTGGGACGTCAGGGTACATTAGAAACCAAAACTATCTGTTAAAAACGTACTGTAACTACTTTTTGAAGGTGCACTCACGCAAAAGAGTATATTTGCTAGCCGCTTAAGGACTTCACGTTTAGTTGGAGTGACGAAAACGACAACTGCAAATTTTTGTAACCGTAACTATTTGAGCAAATGTCACCCGAGTTGCTCAAAGCGGCCCTGCAAGGCTTTTTCAGCATGCCCAGAGAATGGTGTCGCTTGCTAGTGGAGGTTTCTGAAAACCTGTCAGCGAAACATTATAGCACAGCAGGTGACACGTAATTTACAAATATTTTTAGTCTGGCTGATATCATTCCCTCTTCTGTCTTCGAATGATGTCATATACCAAGAGGACCAAAAGTCATTGCTATTGACTGATTTTATCATTTTATCATCATCACCTGCCTGGTTACTGTCGCCGCAGCGTCACGTTGGGTACTCGTGCACACGCTCGCGATCGCATTGAATGTTAGCCACACATTCCAAAAAGAAAAAAAAAACTGATCATGGTCATTGTGAGTGCACGACACCACTTTTTTTCCCGTGCCATCCCTGCGGCTTAGGTTTGAGCGCATTCGTAATTTTCAGATCTGCCACTACTACTACTACTACTACTACTACTACTACTACTACTACTACTACTACTACTACTACTACTACCACTTATTATTATTATTATTATTATTATTATTATTATTATGAAAGTTTTTGGTGGTTTTTCTACGGTGTTTTTTACCCATGCGCAGACCCACTTATTACTAACCATAGTATACGAATATGCACCACATGTTACGGGTTGAGAATATTTATGCCAAGTCCTCTTCTGAAAATTTATTTATAAAGGCCTACTACTATGCTAAGGGCACGAGTACAAAAGTGGCCAGGTATAAATAGATAGATAGATAGATAGATAGATAGATAGATAGATAGATAGATAGATAGATAGATAGATATAAACGGGCTGTTGGCTTTTTTGTTCGCTAAATATGCTTCGCATTTATTATTTGGGGTAAGTTGTGCTAGAAGTAGACTGCCCTTGAGGGGAAAAGGTATCTTGGAGCAAATACCCCGAGCTATACGAAATATTCGTCGGCTACAGTGGAAGGGCCGAGAAACGACTTAGCATGTCGTACTGAAATGGCTTAACATTTCGCTCAAAAGATACCCAAGAGACGTGCACTTTGAGAAAGCCGATGTCTCGAGGTACATACAAGGATTATTTGTGAGAAGTTGTGACAGTCAAGATGTCAAAGGATTACTGCATAATATCAGGAATGACGGAACTGCCCACATATGGACATGATTGAATACGTCTTCTAAAGAATTAAAGATCACGCAGAGAGAAAGTAAAGCAGCCGTAGATAAAGTGAAGTACAGACAGAGAGAAAGGAAGAGGAAAAGCAGGGAAGTTAACCGAGCATTGGCTCGGTTGGCTATCCTACACTTGGGGGGCAGGAAAATATTAGAAAGGTAATAGACAAAGAAAAAGAAGAGTAAAGAATAGATGAATAAGCAGTGAGCTTGAGACTACAGAGCTTGGTCTCGCGATTATCGTTCACAAGGACTCGTCAAGCCCGGTGGCCCTCAAAAAGCACAAGAGAGCTTTCGTGGCCTTGCGCGTATGCGAGACCATTGGTTTTGTGAGGGCCTTCTTTTCCGTAAGTGGTCTTGAATCCAGGTGAAAAAACAGTTTATATGATGGATATCATCGCCGCCTCACGTTCGAACACAATCCTAATGAAAGTTGCCTGACCACTGAGTCAAGCTCCTATGAAGAAATGGAAGTTAGCAATAGAAAGCTGACCGAGCAAGGCTTTGAAGCGGCTTGCCAAAGATAGCAGTTCCAATTGAGAATCACAACTAATTATCAGAATGCATGCAAGGGCAGGTTTTTTTCACTATCATTTGGCTCTATGAAGTAAGATCTTTGAAATGTGTAAGTAGGAAATACCATGAGTAAAATAATTTAAAAGACGTTTCTAATGAAAGGAAAAAGATAAAATAAATGCTGGTAGATAAATTGAACCTTTAATCATAAATAAAGTGAAAAAGCCCCAAAACGAGAAAGATCAATTCTTTATGCCGGATATCATGCAAGTGTTTTTGAACTATGAAGCACGAACAGCGCGAATTCAACGTGGGGACACAAGAGGCACAGATGAACGCTGACTAGCAACTGAAGTTTTATTCTACGTGAAGGGAAATTACATACAGAATCAACACGAAGAAAACATGAACCAAATAATAAATAACATTAAAAATACCATAACAAATATAAAGCATTACAAAATGATCGCGCACGCTCTTCCAAAAAAAGATAACTCTTTCCTCAATAAACAGAGAGATGGGTTATGTTGATGTACAATGAACCTTCTCGGGCGATATGGGCTGCTTCGATCGTTTTGTGAGTGCGTTTAAGAGAAACGACTTAATTTAGATTGACCAGCTGCACTCTGAGAACTGTAATGGCTTATGTTTCACCATCATTAGCATAGAAAATCAAGATTGAAGTTTCATTTTTAAATTTAAAATAATATCTCCGAGCCTGACGTCACACACTTCGGAATGTTTTTTCAGTAATTTCGTGACATATGCTAGGTCATATTTTCTGAAACTTGGTAAGAAAAATGTATGGCAACCACAATTTTATCGACTAGAAGCCACGTAGGATCGAGATAGATGCCTTCATTATCTATGACGTCATGGTGTTTGGTGAGAGAGTCTCAAGGTGGCGTCTCCACCCGTATTTTCTTTTCAGGCGTTTTGTCCCTTACCCAGCCTCGTGTCATGGTAAATGTGATGTGTATTTGTAAGAGGGGTGCAGTAAGAGTGAATTGTGAAATTGCACTTCTGTGATACGCAGAACATTATTTTGTCCTTAAGTGTCTCTTTAAAAGCGCAATTTTCTAGCAAAATATTTTACGATATTTTCTGAGTGGTAGTCTCACATTGCAGCCCCGCCACGATGATCTAGTGGCTAATGTACTCGGCTGCTGACCTGCAGGTCGCGGGATCGAAATCCGGCTGCTGCGGCAGCGTTTCCGATGGAGGCGGAAATGTTGTAGGCCCGTGTGCTAAGACTTGGGTGCACGTTAAGGAACCCCAGGAGGTCGAAATTCCCGGAACCCTCCACTGCGGCGTCTCTCATAATCAAGTGGTGGTTTCGGGAAGTTAAACCCCACATATGAATCAATTAGTCTCACATTGCAATTTAAAAATCATCAAGTCTACAAACCATTTGACAAGTCACCGTACTGATGCACGTGAAAGCCATGTTTTCCTTTCGGTAAATTGGTGAGGTTGCCTTGGACCGTCACATTGCCACCCGTACTCTGAGAAGGCAATATAAACGCTGCATATAGACACAAATTTGAGGTCCAGACAGTTCTTTTGGCACAACTGAGCTAACCTACTGGCATATGGAGCTTCTATCTTGTAATTGAGACGAGTATTGCACTCCTCAATAAAATAGGATGCTACGTTGCGTTAATCGTACAGAAACGGGTTCGGTGCCCCGAGCCACTGCAAATCTTCCAAAGTAGAATTTCTTCCATGCCGCCTTTTGTTAGTGAACCCCAATACAAAAATAATAATATTCAGGAAAATCTGATACATAGTGTAAGACCATTTGTGTAACGTATATTGCTCAACTAAGTATTCATTGTCTTCACAATCAAGTACGACATTGTGGAATACAGTTAAACAAACATCATGCAAAAACCATTCGATCAATACACTGAATACGATAGCGATTTAGGTTTGCCTTCCTCTAACCCACGTGAAAACGTACGCTTTAGTTTTAGATTAGTTGGATTTGTGGGTGGGTCCATCGGAGAAATGAAGACAGCGGCAATAAGCTATAACATACGCCAGCCATCAGCGTGTACTATGTAGACTGTTAAACTGTTATTCATGCATTATGCACGCACTTACCTTGTCCACATTGCTATGTACATTTTCAAAGAACATTCAAGTGTATAGAGTTTAATACGACTTCTGATCTGAAAAAAGGATCCCTTCATATCACGTGCATTTTCCATGTGTTTTTAACGCCTCACCCAGTCCGTATCACAAATTTATTTTGTTATCTATATAGCTTGAATTTCTTCACATACCAACTGACCTGGTGAAACATGACGTGACCGCTGACATTGCCAACATTAAACACGCAAATTGCATCTGAGACATTCCGCTTCTTTTCGCTGTCTTCAACTTTAGCAGCTGCGGCTAGGAGTAAATGCAATATCAGAAGTAGCGTCTGCATAGCTTCTGCAAGAAACATAAATAACTTATTGCCCATATATCTTCATGCGTACTAATAGGCAATATATATATATATATATATATATATATATATATATATATTTGGATTTATTTTTATTCTAGTGCGTCGTGCGACATTATTATTGCAATCTTGGTTATGGTTATGGGTTATGAATTATCAAATGCAATCAATTCCAAAATTTATAACTTCTAAGTGAAAATAGTTCAACGAAAGGTATAAAAGATTTGGTGACTGGATATAATGAATACTAATAGTACTAGTGTACCTGAATATTTAAATGGGGGAAATTCATTAGCTAAATAAATGAATTCAAGAATATTGCCGTAGCACGCCAAATCAAAGCGTAGATGAAGAGGTAGAATGCACTGAAAGTGGTATACCACCCATAAGATAGAAATGAAAAATACAATAAATAAAAAATAAAAAAATTGAAAAATTTAAAATATAATGATGCCGCACGATATGCAGTACAGAAGATCGATACTGAAACTGGTATAACATGGACGTATTCATCTTTAGGGTGAGATGAAAAATGTTGCCGCATGAAAAAGTGTATGACAAAAATATAGGGACGAGAGAAGCAACAGGGTCAAAGGAAATATTGCTTCTCGCATACCTTATGTTTTCCTACTGTATTGTATTGGCAACTAATCATTTACCAAGTAGAGGCCACCAGTTTTGAATATAGAGGGAGATTAAAGCCAGTGCAAAACTGTAGCAGTTGATGCTACGAGGAGTACCATCTGAAAATGCTGGTGCAATATTTTAAACTAATTTTTTGTGCAGCAGCTTTGAAATATCAGCTTTTCTTTTTTGTGAAATTATGACTACTTTGATATCGAAATGCAGGTATCTCTCATGCTGTTTTCCATTGGCACAAATATATGTTTTACTGATTTCTTTAATCAAGCTCTTCATGTTAATATACCCACGAAAAATATTTGCGTTTGAAAGGCTATTTTATCACATTTAAAAAAACAAAAGTTTGGGAAAATTCTTTACCTTCACCTGACTATTGTTACCGCAATGTGCCTCTCCTTATTTCCTGCAAAGTTGACGTGTTTTTCTTTCACCAAGCACACTAGTTGAATACCGGACTGGTGAACGGCTCGAACAAATCAACTCGACGGTTGTGGTACAGGAGTCACACTATACGAAATGTGACAAGGCTAGCTGAAAATGAGTTCTGACGACCAGTGTAGTGACCGCATCTATGTTTCATTTATTTTAAAGCGCGAATCATGAGAACTTGACGAGACTAAATGTCCCAAAGCATTCGCAAGTATATTGAACTCGCTTATTTCAACTTTTATGTTGTCGTTAGCCTTTAAGTATTTGCTTACGAAAGAAAGCTGTCAGTAAAGGACATTTAATTTTATCTGGCTTTGAACTGTGTAACATAAACCTCTGTAACGTCAAAGTCGGCCTTCACTGCTCTTTGACCATCTTGTAAGTATCACAGGATTGCATGCGACTGCAATGAATGATATGTAAAGTTTCGGCGCTTTTCTTAAAATAAACCTATACTATATTTTTCCCTGCACTGTTCCTTGAACAACGCAAATATAGTCGCTGTCAGTTATTGTACAAATTAGAAGTTCGATTGACTACGGAACTGAGCGATTTACTGTTTGCACACCATAGAAGCTTTTTAGTTGCTCACACAAGTACACACAATAAAAAAGTTAACATATCAAAAGTTTATAGACTATAACGAAGAAGGCTTACAGGCCGCTGAAAGTACAAGGTAGCGGGAAAGACCACTCCCCATCATTTTGGCATGATTCCTGTCCATGAAACCTGGCTGTGCATCATTGAAGCAATCACGGACCCTATGATGAAATGCAATAATGTTCTTGAGCGCAAGTGCCTTGTCCCATGGTACATTTTTCCAACTACTGCGTGCTCTCTTTGTAGCCCACAAAAAATTCAAACAATAGTGGATATCACAATGAAAAAAAAAATGAATAGATACTTCTATATGAGTGCTACATCTTCCCTCTCGAAACTTTTGCTTTCAAAGCAACAATACAAAAGCAGAGATCTTATACTAAATGCTTGCGTAAGCTGATAATAGAGATCCTTAGTTTCTTAATACAGCGAGCAGCAACTCTAGCTACCCGTCTCTGCAAGAACAGCTCTAGGATTGCGATAGATATTGGTGTCAGTCAAACAGATGCAATTCTTGTCAGTGGTGTTGGAGTTTTTAGACGAGTGGGCGGAGAAAAATAACGCATCTTGAACTCAGCTGAGAAAGGGTGGGCCACAGCGAAGCTGGTAGGCACCTAGCCTACCAGCTAAACTTCTAAACCTCGCACCTGCCTCTTTCCCACCCTACACTATGCTATGCTATATAAAGAGCTCTTCTTGCTGTCTTTGTAATTATTCTTGTTTTTTCAGTCTGCGTATTTCCATCTGTTCTTACATATGTCCACTTGCTTCTCTGTTTTCCTGTTTCTGTTTTTTATTTATTTCTATCTTTTTTAAACTTTCTCTTTCTCTTTTTTTGTATATCTATACAATTGTTCTCTCGCGTTGTACTTTTTACATTGTTCTGCCATAACAGCTCTGTTTTAAAACTGTTGTAGGACGTATGCGCAATAAAAAAATGGGGCAGATCTTACTACTGCTAACACTGGTGTTTTACTGCACCAGTGATAGGAGTATTACAATAATAAGGCAACACATGGGTGGCAAACACAAGATTGAGGCCTCAAGTTTTCCGCCTCTGTTGTGAACCATCAGCACGGAGCGATGGGGGTGAACGAGCGGGTGCCGCTTTTATTATCATCCTAATTTTTTTGCGCAAGACGCATGGCGCACCTCGGCCATAGCTGCTCTGCGGTTAAAAATGAGTAAAGCAGATTGGCTTGAACCGTCTCCGTAATCTAAAATTTTGCAGGTGACTCAGGGCTCTTCTCACGAGATGGCGACAAAGTGCAAAAAAAAATTGATTCAGTACAAATGGTAAACTCCGCTGCTATGCCGCTGTGGAAACTACAAGACTTTTAGCCAGTAGAAAAGGCAAGAACACCTGAAGACGTTTTCAACCTCATCGCAATTTTAGCCTCGGCTTGCCTATGAAGCCAATACTCGTTCGCTAGAAAATCTAGAAAAGCACCACCTCACCCTTTTTCGGTCTTTAGAAACCCACTTACACGGGGCGCACACGCGGGCACTTGTAAGAAACGTGGTTCTTTTTATGACAGTATTCATACTGGCACTTTTAGCACGTTTTCTTCTGACAGCACCAATCGCATTTAGCGCTACTGATCTTGGTTTTTTTTTAAATACTGATTCTTTGAAAATTAGACTCTTCGAAGATTAAGCCGACGCACTTTTGGTGGTCATAACGTACTGTTCTGGAGTATGGAAGCGCGGATTTGTGGCACAAAAAACAAAGTAGGTATTTCAGGTATTTCGCATCCTGAATGCATCCCCAGTGCTAATATTGGGGTGTCATCTGCTCGCTTGATATCAATCCACTTTTACGGCTCGGCACCGCCTCGATAGTCCTAGTAGCGCCAAAACAAACGAGTGACCTAAATAATAGCGAAGAAGGTACCCTATGATTTACCCCAATCGTTAGATGAGGCTAAGCAATGACAAATTATGTCACCTATTTTTCTTGCTCTTTGGGCAGCAAACCAGTAAAAAGCACGAATTCGGATGGAGGCGCCTGGTAAAGGCGGCTTGTGGACTGTCATGTAGAGCAGCGTGGATGACATGAACTACTTGGCACCGCGCGCTGTGTCTCTTCTGTTACACTATAGGTGCAGATAAGACGAGTGAAAAAATTCGTTGATGGCGCTGGCTGATGGTTTGAAATGTTACGGGTCAGCTCCACTGGCGTTGTGCGTCAGGCGTTCTAATATCACTCTCGAAACTGGCAAAACTCTTGGTGTCATGCACGAAACTTGTTATGCGTGATTAAACAGAACGAAAATACTTCTAAATATTAACATTTTCACTGATATTGCTTTCGAATTTAGCAGATAATTTCAAGCCACAAAATATTCCCCGTGATGTTACATGATCCGCGCCATCGCAAAACCGAGAGAATTCACCGAGCTAGAGTCACGTACACACATACACACGAAAAAAAGTAATAATATATTACATGAAACAGAAACCTTTCTGGAACAATAGGAAAGCTCACCGCTCAGAAAAAAGTAGAAGATGGTGGTGGCCAGTAATTCTCACGCTGTGTATGTAGCTGCCCGGCAGATATCTTGTGTGGCTCTATAGATGTGCAGAGGTCCTTCAGCACCACTCCACCAAATCTATTCGCAAAGTGTGAGTTGCTTTGAACATGGCGTTTTGGGTTATCAAAAAAAAATGGATAAAACAGAATATGGGCAAATTGAGCGAGTAGAAGTGCATGACCGCCATCCTTCGTTTTCTTTTCCTCCGCTTCCTTCACCAAACTAAAACCCCTCCTTATTGTGTGCATGCGTCCACTGATGTTGTTTTAGATATATAAATATTATTAATAGAAGAAGGGTTAGCATTATTTTATACGAAATAATGACCTCTTACGCAGCATTTCTGGTCAACCAAGGTTTTAAAAAAATCTGGCGGTTCCTTTGCCCACGGATGGCTCCATGGTCACATAAGACTAACATCAGACAGAGCAAAATAGGAATATAATGGAATAGTTTTACCTTATCGGGCCTTTGATTTCCTTCATCCACGTCAAGAACAAAACACTTGGGTTTGCCTTTTCATCTGCTGTACTGTAGTCCGATATCACAGTGAGGATGCCTGCTCTTGAAAATTTCTCCGTTACACGATGTCGCGCTTCGGCGTCATTGGTGGCGCCGCCAACACCACCACTGCGCAAGCTCGCGTCTCCCGTCTCCGGCCCAGGAAGACAACCACAAAAGCATCGCTCCCCTCCGCTTCTCTCAACTCGCAAGGCCGATGCAGATAGCGTCTGCTAGCAAAAAAAAAAAAAAAACGACTGCTCGCGCTGCGCAACTGTTCACTGGCCACCCCGTATATACATATACAAGATAACCATTGAACGGTTCTTTAAGGACTACATGTAGGGACTGGATCGTGTGTTCGTATTTCAATCAAGGGCGTCTTTACTTGGCTTTCGATTGACGTTGAAGGCAATGCTTCTGCTTCGATCAATAAAAAGGAATAATAAATACGAAATAGCAATTAAGCATTCTCAAACCATACATAACTACGAAACATTCATTCGATAACCCCGCCACTCTGCGACGCATTTACTCAAGTTCCCCCGGTACAAGATGCGAGCGGCAATTTTTAATTAGTTTTCTTTTTTATCTTTTGTATTTTGTTTCTATAGTATTTTTTATGTTTGCATGCATTTATTTGCAATTCTAACTGCATCCTTCTCCAAAAGTATTAGGTTATAACTCTCCTTTGAAGTGCTATTTAAGAATCACCTTATCAGCTTAAAGTCAGTTAATGCTTATCTTTGAAGAGAATCATATATGCGCCAAGTTCAGACACGACGTGAAGTGTAATAGGCAATCGTCTTTGCTTTTTCATAGAATGGCGTCACAGCACTGAGGTCGTCATTATGACACATTAGATCACCTGGTTCATTCAGTTCTGTTGAAGTGCAAAGCTTGATTGTGAGCGTGGCCTTAATGAATGGCTCTGATTGTTTCCGCTTCCGCTATTTATTGTAATCAAAAATTTTTTCATATGGCTCTCTTCATAACGAGATTTTTTGGAAACCTGCTGCCACAGCCTCTAAAAACGCCACGTACTTATAGTAATGTCGCCATCTTTTACTTTGCAAGCCGTCACTTGGCTGAACACATGCCAAAGGCCCTCCCGTCTTGATGCCATTGTCGCAAGTAAGATTTGAGAAATTCATTCTTTCATATTTACGTCGGCTCTCTGTGGCCGTCAGTCATTTTCACATTATCTTTCAAAACAAGTTAAACTTTTGATTCGACATTCCCTAAAGTGCGTGGGTGCCACTAATCTTACAGCTCGACAGCTACGTCGCCTGGATGATAGCAATGAAAACTCATAAAATGGGCGTGATAAATACTCTAAATATAAAGAAATCAATACGACTATCATATAGTGTACATTTTTTAACTCTTTAATGCACAAAGATCCATCTTTCGGGAAACAGAGTTTTTTTGAAAAAAAAAATGCCGAGTCATTTTCAAGGAAAAGGTTTTCTTGCAAGAAAGAAAAAATGG